TACAGTAAACATACATTTGTCTAAAATTAATTTTCTTATTGGCCTATTCATTTTGACTAACCCTGTATTTACATTATTTTACTCTATTTTTATTATTTTTATTGCATTTATAGTTTTACTCTATTATTGTTATTATTATTATTTGATACACAACCCTAATGCTGCTTTACTTTGACGCAGAGCAAACGCTGTCGCTTGATGGGCACGGAGCGCCAGCCGTTCAACATGGCCAGGATGGCCCTGAAGAGGATGGAGAGGCCCCAAGAAGACGCTTCGCCCTGTTTCAGCAAAAGGATGAAGAATGTATGCGGAGCGCCTTCCGCCGAACTAACGGTTGGTACCTGCAGCTTCGCGAGTCCTTTCCGAACTAGGCCTTAAACACGATATGGGGTCATTACATGTAACATTACTAATAATATAACAATATAATGGCATAGTACAATATAGTCATATATAATACTGATATTGTACTCTGCTAATAACATAATATATTGTGTGTGTGTGTGTGTGTGTGTGTGTGTATATATATATATCTTGTAAGCTGCTCACAGTCCCCTTCGGGGTGAGAAGGGTGACATAGAAATGCTGTAAATAAATAAATACTTTGACCTGAGTAAATAAATATATTTAAATTGATACTTAGTGGTAACATTGCAAAACAAAAACATATCAGTCTTGTAGAGCAGATTTTTCTCTTTCAGATGAAGCTGTTCACAAGCAGATGGCATTTTGTTATATGTTGTGTACACGCTGACTGACTACCCTTCAGATAACAGGGTCTCAATCAGCAACTATTGCAGTTAGAGACCTCACATTTTGGGAAATTTGGTTTGACACCTGACATGATGGTGGGAACTTTTAAAAAAATTTTAGATCACCGAGCATGGAATGATCCTATGGGCCAACTTGGGCCCTCCCTCCAGGTGTTTTGGACTTCAACCCCTACAATTCCTAACAGCCGGTAGGCTGTTAGGAATTGTGGGAGTTGAAGTCCAAAACTCCTGGAGGGAGGGCCCAAGTTGGCCCATTCCTGCCTGAAAGGAACACTCCCTGCTACTTTACTCTCTCATCCATCATAATGTTTCTGCAGAGCCTGGTCCTGGGTGGAGCGCATTCCTCGTCCTCATCGTCATCGTCCTCATCATCATCATCAGCTGAGATAGAGAGCCTTTTGGATAGTGACCCAAGGGACCTCGTTGGAGACTTTTCAAAGGTAATGTTGACTTTATTTCTTCTTGTCTTTTGATATCTTGGTTTGCATACCTGGATGGACTGGGATCGCACTGGTGGCCCACGCTGACCCAAAGCCAACCAGCATTTAGAGTTTCCAAGTTAATGAATCATATCTCGATGCAGTTCTAATGGAGCCAACACTGTCATGCGGCAGCTAAAAAAAGCCAATGGGACTCAAAGGGTCTGGAGAACAAGCCCTATGAGGAGTGGCTGAAAGAGCAGGGCATGTTTAGCCTGCAGAAGAGAAAGCTGAGAGGAGTCATGATAATGAGGGCCATGGGTCAAGATGTGAGGGGAAGCCATAGGGAGGAGGGAGCAGGCTTGTTTAAGGGAGATGTTGACTCTAAGCTGGAATATATCCAGAGGGGGGCGACTCAAGGGATCAAGGATCTGGAGAACAAGCCCTATGAGGAGTGGCTTAAAGAGCAGGGCATGTTTAGCCTGCAGAAGAGAAGGCGGAGAGGAGACAGGATGAGGGCTATGTATAAATATGTGAGGGGAAGTCATAGGGAGGAGGGAGCAGGCTTGTTTTATGCCGCTCTGGAGACGAGGATGCAATGGAATAATGGCTTCAAACTACAGGAAAGAAATGAGATTTCACCTGAACATGAGGAAGAACTTCCTGACTGCGAGAAAGAGCTGTTCAGCAGTGGAACTCTGGGTCCTGAAGTGTGGTGGAGGCTCCTTTTTTGGAGGCTTTTAAACACAGGTTGGATGGCCATCTGTCGGGGGTGCTTTGAAAGCAATTTTCCTGCTTCTTGGCAGAATGGGGTTGGACTGGATGGCCCACCAGGTCTCTTCCAACTCTAGGATTCTATTATTCTACTAGTCGTCCCCTGCCATGCGTTGCTGTGGCCCAGTCTGTATTTTGTGTGTATATATTTTGTGGTTTTGCACATGAGTTGTAATGTATTTTTTTTGGCTTTTTAAGTCTGTTCTGCTGTGTTTCTATTAGTTGGCCTGATAAGATGTATTGTGTCCAAATCTGGTGTCAGTTCGTCCAGTGTTTTTTGAGTTACGTTAATCCCACAAACGAACATTACATTTTTATCTATATAGATAGACTCCAATTGTTTCATCACAATCAGATCCCCTGAAGATACCAGCCAGAGATGCAGGTGAAATGTCAGGAGAAAATGCTGCTAGAAAACATTGGCCACATCGTCCCAAAACCACAACAACACCCCGTCATATTATTGTTAGTCCCTATGAAGAGAAAGACAGGATAGAAATAAAGATGATGGTGGTGGTGGTGATGATGATGATTTTCCCCCTGCCTCTTGGCCTAGAGCTCCTCTCCTGCGTCCTCTGAGCAAGGCTTCTCCTTCCCCTCTTTATTTAGGGCTACCTTTTCAAAACGGTCAGCGGCAAACATCAAGACCTGAAGTACATTGACCCAGAAATGGTGAGTGGCGTATCTTCCAGGCTGTCTTGCAGGGTGGTAAACACTGGCTTTCTCTGCCAGGGGGTCCTGCTTTTTGGGGTGCAGAGAACACTCGGAGCGCCAATGGCCTGGCCCTGCTCTTCATTTTGGTGGTTTTTCAAATGGAGTGTGTGCAACTGGGCAGCATGGGCCTTGAGGCCTGAGACTCCACCTCTTCCCTCTAGATTGTGGCTGTGCTGAATGGGAAGTTTTCAGGGGACATTAAGGACTGCGTGATCATCGACTGCAGATATCCCTATGAGTACGAAGGAGGCCATATTAAGGTAAGCATTAAGGGCTAGCTTTGATGCTTGGCATCTATATTGGATGAAAGACTGGTGAGTTCAGGTATGGGTATTGGGGCTCAGCCTGCTCTGTGTGAACCTGATTCTCTGATAGTATTTCCAACTGAGCAAGCCACTGAACATGTAGTTTTCCCTGACAATGTGGAAACTGGTGTTGATGCTAAGTTCAGCGGCGGGGAAAACAAAACTGAACAGCCGGATGAAAATGTTTTGGAATCCAGCCGTGATAGCTCTCCACCTGGGTTTTTTAATGAGGACCGAAGGGAACAGATAACGAGAGACAGGAGTGATTCACAGTTCCTACGAAGGTCAAATAGATTACAGGAGAGACAGGCTCAGGCTTCAAAGTCAAGGGGCGTTTCAAGGAATAGCTTCTTTGGTTTAAGGGGCCTCCTGCCAGGGGCCTCCTTAGATCAAGCAACATTTGGGACTGTGGCTGTGCCTTGGCAGAATTCCTGTGTTCCATGGCCGGTAATCCCAGAGGCTTCTAGTTTTTCAAGTACATGGTTAGCGAGAGGCTAACAGGTTCCTGGTTCTTGTCTTGTGTTTTTGGACTTTTGCTCAAGTTCGGAGATTTTCCTGACTGCTGTGTTTTCATGGTGGCTTTTTGACTTTGCATTTAACTTTCTTTTGTAACCAATTTTTCATCAATAAAAAAGGATTGTTTTTCCTACAGTTCAGTGTGGTGGATTTAATCTTATGCTCTCGTTTCTTGGTCTGGGATGCAACAATGGGCAAACTTGGGCCCTTCCAGGTGTTTTGGACTCCAACTCCCACCATTCCTCACAGCCCCAGGCCCCTTCCTTTTCCCCCTCAGCTGCTTAAGCGGCTGAGGGGGAAAAGGAAGGGGCCTGAGGCTGTGAGGAATGGTGAGAGTTGGAGTCCAAAACACCTGGAGGGAGGGCCAAAGCTTGTCTATGCCCAGGTTAGTTCCAAAGCAGCTTCCTTGGAGTCAGGTAGAAGTGAGACATAACAAGATCTCATTGCAATATTGGTGGCATTGAATCCTTGTTTATTGGATTGGCCTGTGTAGTGAATCCACTACCAGTTAGGCTTATAGAATCCTAGGAAGAAGTAGGCCCAAGTGTTTCAACAGCCACCTTGGAAAGGGTGTCGGGGAAATCCATTGTCACTCATTGGGGGTCGAAGGGAGAGGGTGTTAGGAGATTAGAGGGTTGAGAAAGGCCTGAGATTGGCCAGAGTTGCTAGCTGGTACAGCTAGTGAGGAGTTTACAGCTATTAGGAAGATAGCTGGGAAACAAAGAGATACATCCAATTTAACACTATCTGTGCTGGTGTAGAATTACTGTCAGAGAAATGATCCTGTCAGTATTCTTGTGTGGAGGGAGAAAGGAATGTTTATAGTGTAACGAAGTCAGAACTGCTTTGTGTAACTACACGTTTTCAAGACAAATCTCTGAAATAGCCAAGCTTTGTACTTGAATTGTTCCTGTTCTTGTAAATAAACTACATTGTTTGTTTTTCATTACATCTGACTCAAGTGTGCCTCTGTGCTTAATGGTTTAAAAGCAGATTCCTGCAGTGTTCAGGAACTTTATGGTGGTAGCGTATGTTTTAAAGAACTATCTTTAAAGGGTACCTCAGAAACACAAGCCTGAGGGCTAATACCATCACACGCTTTCATAAGTTACCTCAAGTAAGTCAAGGGCTTATCAGCACTTCTAAGTTGGTGGATGCCAATGCGCTTTCAAAAAGGGGTTTTTCGGCCAGGAAGAAAGTTCCAGCTTTCTATCACAGCCTTTTGTTTTTGGGGATGATTTTATTTCCCAAATAAAGTCACGCTACATTCGTTATAATTGGTGGAACAGCGTTTTGATTTTATTTATCAAATAGATCCCCCTATATTCCATTATAGCCTGCCTCTCTCCCTGCTGATGCTCCTTCCTCCCTCCCTCCCTCCCTCCCTCCCTCCCTTCTTTCTTAGGGAGCCGTGAATCTCCACATGGAAGAAGACGTGGAGAACTTCCTGCTGAAGGAGCCCATGGTGTCCTCGGGCGACAAGCGGATCATCATCGTCTTCCACTGCGAGTTCTCCTCGGAGCGGGCCCCTCGCATGTGAGTGCACAGACAGATACAGCTTTGTTATCGAAGGCTTCCATGGCAGGAATCACTGTGTTGCTGTGAGTTTTCTGGGCTGTCTGGCCATGTTTCAGAAGGATTTTCTCCTGATGTTTCGCCCACATCTATGGCAGGCATCCTCAGAGGTTGAGGGGTCTGTTAGAAACTAGGAAAGTGGGGTTTATATATCTGTGGAATGATGTCCAGGGTGAGAGAAAGAACTCATTGTCTGTTGGAGGCAACTGTGAATTCTGCAATTTATCATCTTGATTAGCATTGAATAACATTGCAGTTTCAAGGCTTTGCTGCTTCCTGCCTGGGGGAATCCTTTGTTTGGATGTGATTAGCTGGCCCTGATTGTTTCTTGTCTGGGATTCCCCTGTTTTCAGAGTGTTGTTGTTTACTTACTGTCCTGATTTTAGAGTTTTTTAAAATACTGGTAGTCAGATTGTGTTCCTTTTCATCGTTTCCTCCTTTCTATTGAAATTGTCCACATGCTTCATGTGGATTTAAATGGCTTCTCTGTGTAGTCTGACATAATGGTTGTGAGAGTGGTTAGGGTTAGGGCAGCAAATAAAGAGCAACACTCAAAAAGCAGGGGAATCCCAGACAGTAATCAATCACGGCCAGCTAACACCTCCCAACAAAGGATTCTCCCAGGCAAGAACCAGCCAGGCTTTGAAGCTGCAAGGCCATTCAGTGCTAATCAAGGTGGCCAATAGCAACATTCACACTTGCCTCAAACAGACAAGAGTTCTTTCTCCCACCCAGGACATCATTCCACAGATATATATATATATATATATATATACAATCCACTTGCCTCTTTTCCAACAACCTCTAAGGATGGCTGCCATAGATGTGGGCAAAACAGCCCAGAAAACTCACAGCAACCCAGATATAGCTTTGTTGGCCAGCCTCCAATCTCTACACCAGTTAGCCGAAAATAAAACTATATTTGGCACAGAAAGATTCCTTAGGAAGAACCTCACGCAGGGAGTAGCTTTTACCGAAGCGAGATTTGAGCAACTTAATTCTAGGGTAACAACAGGACGATTTCAAAGAAATACCTTCCCGTGAAAGAAGGCGTCCATAAAGGGACATTGTGCATATTTTGTTTTTATTTTTGTCTCTATGTCAAGGTGAGATCCTAATATTTACAACCACTTTTGGTTACTTAGAACAACAATTGGGATCCAATTGCCCAACTGCCCTATTTTTCTTTCTGTCTGGGGAGAATCTACACTTCGTCAAAGCCAAA